TCTGTTGTAATTTCTCCTCTTTCATTTCTAATTTTATTTGAGCTGTCTCTCTTTTATTCTTAGTGAGTCAAGCTAAGTGTTTGTCAGTTTTGTTTATCTTCTCAAAGAACCAGCTCTTAGTTTCATTGATCCTTTCTGTTGTTTTTTTATTCTCTATTTCATTTATTTCTGATCTAATTTTTATTATTTCCCTCCTGCTGACTTTGGGCTTAGTTTGTTCTTCTTTTTATAGTTCTGATAGGTCTAGTTTAAGATTACTTGTTTGAGATTATCTTGTTTGTTGAGGTGGGCCTGTATTGCTATAAATTTCCCTCTTAGAACTGCTTTTGCTGCATCCCAGAAGAGTTGGTATGTTGTGTGTTCATTTTCATTTGTCCCTAGGTATTTTTTAATTTCTCCTTTGATTTCTTCATTGATCCAATGGTTGTTCAGTAGCATGTTGCTCAGTCTTCATGTATTTGTGACTTTCCCAGCTTTTTTCTTGTAGTTGATTTCTAGTTTCATAGCATTGTGGTTGGAAAAGATGCTTGATATGATTTCAGTCTTCTTAAATGTATTGAGGCTTGCCTTGTTTGCCAACATATGGTCTATCTTTAAGAATGTTTAATGTGCACTTGAAAAGGATGTGTAATTCTGCTATTTGGGGATAGAATGTTCTATATATATATCTATTAAGTCCATCTGGCCTATTGTTTCATTTAAGGCCACTTTTTCCTTGTTGACTTTGTGTCTGGATGATCTATCCATTGATGTAAGCGGAGTGTTGAGGTCCCCGGCTATTATTGTGTTGCTGTCAATTTCTCCGTTCAGTTCTGTTAATAGTTGCTTTATATACTTTGGTGCTTCTGTATTAGGTGCATATATATTCATAAGTGTTATGTGCTCTTTGTAAAATGTCCCTTTTATCATTATATACTGCCCTTCTTTGTCTTTCATTATCTTTTTTTATCTTGAAGCCTGCTTTGTCTGATATAAGTATGGTAACACCTGCTTTCTTTTGCTTTCCATTTGCTTGGAGTATCACCTTCCATCCCTTCAGTCTGAGCCTATTTGTCCTTAGAGCTGAGATGTGTTTCCTGGAGATAGCATATTGTTGGGTCTTGTTTTTTAATCCATCCAGTCTCTCTGTGTCTTTTAATTGTAGAATTCAGTCCATTTATGTTTAGAGTGATTATTGATACATGAGGGCCTAATATTACCATTTTATCTCTTCTTTTCCAATTGATCTATATTTATATTGTTTTGTTTCCCTTGTCTTTCTGGCTGCCATTTCAGCTTGGTGGTTTTCTGTGATGGTTTTCTCTTTATTTATGATTCGTGGCTCTGCTCTTATTTTTTGTTTAGTGGTTACCATGAGGTTTGTATAAAAAGATCTTGTAGATGAGATAGTCCATTTTCTGTAGCCTCTTATATTCATGGGCCTAAGCAGGTTCCATCCCTTTCTTTTTCCCATTCTGAGTTTTTTTTGGTCACAAATTATTTTTTTTGTGTGTTGTGAGTATGTGACTAAATTGAAGTGTTTATAGTTATTTTTGATGCTTTCCTTCCCTTGATCTTTTATGTTATAATTAAGTATTTGTTAACCTATTCTTATAGAGAGCTGCAGTTTTCTCATTTTGTCTGTCTATTTATCACCTTGCTCAAAGGTTTGTGGACCTTTGCCTTTTTGTTTCAGGTAGGAGGGCTCCTTTCGTCATTTCTTGTAAGGTAGGTCTTGTGGTGATGAACTCCCTCAGTTTTTGTTTATCTGGGAAAGCTTTTATTTCTCTGTCAAATCTGAAGGATAATTTCACTGGATAGGATATTCTTGACTGAAAGTTTTTGTCTTTCAGTATTTTGAATATATCATTCCACCCTCTCCTAGGCTGTAAAGTTTCTGCTGAGAGATCTGCTGAAAGCCTGATAGGGGTTCCTTTGTAGGTTATTTTCTTCTGCCTTGCTGCCCTTAATATTTTTTCTTTGTCATTGACTTTTGTCAGTTTTAATATTATTTGCTTTGTAGAAGGTCTTTTTGCATTGATGTAATTAGGAGTTCTATTGGCTTCCTGTACTTATAAGTCCAGTTCTTTCCCCAAGTTTGGGAAGTTCTCAGCTATTATTTCTTTGGACAAGCTCTGTGTTCCTTTCTCCCTAACTTCACCCTCTGGAATACCAATAATCCTTATGTTACTTTTCCTAATTGAGTCAGATATTTCTCAAAGAATTTCTTCATTTTTAAAAAGTCTTAGTTCTCTCTCTTCCTCCACCTGAAGCATTTCCTTATTTCTGTCTTCTAATTCCCTAATTCTGTCCTCCATGAGATCTGCTCTATTTTTATGCTTTATACATTATTTTTTATCTTCATGTCCAGAATTTCTGTATAGGTTTTTTTTTTTTTTTTTCTTAGGAAGATTAGCCCTGAGCTAACATCTGTTGCCAATATTCCTCTTTTTTTGCTTGGGGAAGATTTGCCCTGAGCTAACGTCTGTTCCAGTCTACTCTACTTTATATGTGGGATGCTGCACAGCATGGCTGACAAGTGGTGTACGTCCACACCCGGGATCTGAATCCATGAACCCAGGCCACTGAATGGAATGTGCTGAACTTAACCACTAGGCCATGAAGCTGACCCCTTTACAGTTTTTCTTTAAGGGCTTCCATCTCTTTGGTGAAGTATTCCTTCTGTTCATTAATTTTATTCCTGAGCTCGTTGAACTGTCTTTCTGTGTTTTCTTGCAACTTGTTGAATTTCTTTATGGCAGCTATTTTGAATTCTCTGTCATTTAGATTGTAATCTTCTGTGACTTCAAGTTTGTTTTCTGGAGACTCATCATTTTTCATTCTGCTCTGCAGTGTTACTGTAGTTCTTCCTGGTGTTTGATGAATTGATCCTCTGCCAGTGGACTTGTGGTAGTATCAGGTTTCAGATTCTACCTGCCACCACTGGGGGCAAGCAGGAGCTGTGTTTTCTGACCTGCCCCATCCGCTGGTGGTTGTACCTGTCAAGCTGCTCTGTGTTTGCTGAGGCCTGGTCACAGCCATGCAGCAGGTCTTGCTTGTGCAGGTGGAGCCACTGCACTTGGCATGCATGTCAGGCTAAGCTGCTGCACTTGGCAAGAGGGGTGCTTTCATGGGGGCTGGTGCTGTACACCACAGACTGGTCCTGTAGGCTACTGCACTTAGCAGGCAGGGCACTTTCACATGGGCTCAGCCACTGCCACTCGACAGGTCACACTTGTGCAGGCAGGGTGTCTTACTGCAGGCTGGGTCATGTGCTCACTATGAGGGTCCTGTGGGCTTCTGTGCTTGGTTGGCAGGCTGCCACCAGGGAGGGGGAGGGGGACTGCTTCCCTAGTTCCACTGCTTCCTGGCAATCCAGTCCACCCACCTTCAGATGTATAGCTGCATGGGGCTCTCAGGCATCCTCTTGTGTTGTATAGGGAGTCTTCTGCTGGTTAATGAATGTCCATTTAGTTGTAATTTAGAGGGGGGAGACAAAGGGAATAACTCACTCCACCATGATGCTGACGTCACCTCCCAATAATGAACGGTTTTAATCAAGAAGTATTCCTACTGTTAAAAAGGGGACAACAGCCCCAAAATGGAGCCGGTTTGCTAAGGTCCACCAAAACTTAATACCTAAAGTCATTGCAGTTTCAACCTTCCCAGGAATGTGATCTTTAAGCAACCAACCTGGAATTTCCTGGATAGCACTAAGAGGTGATCCACTGATAGACCCCTCTGTTCCCCTTAGGAGGGCAAACTTGCCTAGAACAATGCATTCTTTGCAAATAATTTCCTTTCTTCTACACTCTCTCTACCTTTAAAAATCTTTCCTAATTACCTCAATGCAAAAACCTTTCCTTTCTGCAGCTCAATGGAGCTCCTTTCTATTTGCTAGATAGGATGCCGCCCAATTCATGAATGGTTCAATAAAGCCAATTTTATCTTTTAAATTTACTCAGTTGAATTTTTTGTTGTTTAACACTACTAATTAAAAAAATCCATCATATGACTATAATAAAGTTGACTTGTCACAATGCTTGTAAAAAATACATTTTTGCTTTATATGCCTTTTTAGATAGTCAATGTGTTTTATGAGTACAACTAAAGTTCATTATAAAATTCTGATTACTTTATAATAACTGTAATAAATATCTATATGTGAAATGCAACAGTATACAAAATACAAGTAGCCCAAGACTTCGCTATTTTCTCTTCTCTAATGGGCTAAGGAAGAAAAGAGAGATTTAGCTTCTGGTAGAGTGGCTTATTCAGCTGGTAGGTGTTCCCATAAGAGCCTTTCTTTTGGTTTTGGCCAGTCCTGAAATTCTTATCTTTGATCAGTCACTTGGTCAGTCTCCAACCAGTTATTGGGACTGGTTTAGGGTTATCTCTTGGGAAAATTGTGAAGTAACCAAAGCTTTTGTTTGGCCCCCTCAGATTACTCTGGCATCTATTTCCTGTCTCTGGCACTCTTTTTTTCCAGGTCTACCTGTTGACATTTCCTCTCCAATCATATCAATCATTTACACATTAGTGGGACTTTAACCCAATAGATTCCCCTTCTCAGGGGTATTTGCATGTTATACCTTATCTCCTGCAAGGGTTTGTTTCTGGTCTTCAAGCTTTAAGCACTGATAAGCTAATATAGAAACTCTTTGGAAGGATGGGGCCCCAAATGCCTTCTCTTGAAATTGTATTTTGTAAGTATATATTTTCTTAGTTTATGAATATGGTCAGCTCCCAACTTATTATTCTTATATAACTGCAAATTCTGAGGCCAATTTCCCTTCTGTATACACACTCAGGCCTTGCGCATGCTCACACATAAATGTCAGAAAGGACATAGGTGGCAAAACGTGGAATTTACTAATTAGGGAAAGAAATACATGCTATTCATTAGGAATAAATTACTAAACTCACTTTCTATGCCATTCTTATCTCTTCCTTATAATAAACGTCTAATATTAGACTGAACCTGGAGCTTTTTTTTTTTCTTTTTCTTTTTTTTTTTCCAGTTTGACAAATGGACAGACTCTCAAAGGAGAAAAATCCTGACAGGCCTATTAGAACGCTGCTCTCTGTCACAGCAGAAGTTCTGCTGTCGAAAGCTTCAGGAAAAAATTCCAGCAGAAGCTCTGGATTTTACTACCAAGCTTCCAAGGGTGTTGTCTTTATATATCTTTTCTTTCCTGGACCCCCGAAGCCTTTGTCGTTGTGCACAGGTAAAGCCAAAGAAGGGGTGTACAGCATTTTGTAAGGAAGGCCTGGAAAACTCTGGAACTTGGATAACTTAAGGGGGAAAGAGCACATACACAAAACCAAGAAATAGATGAGATGGTCAGTGTGTTTAATCTCTATAGTTTCGATGAACATCCATCTCCTTTGTGTCTAACTCTGTATTTAGTGCTAACAAGGGGGGGCAAAGTATAAGTCACCATTAATGTCCACAAAAAAGTGTTAGCTTGTTGGGGAGGCAAATACTCATAGAAGAAATGGTTCGTCAGCAGGATAGTCTTATAGTGCATAGCATACAAATACAATAAAATGTTAAATTGTATAGTGCAGGCCATTCATAAATAGAAAACCTCAGAGTAAGGTGCTAATGAGATATGTGCAAAGAAGTGTGAGTCTAAAAGAGTTCTGAGTGGGCAGGTATGCTCACAGAGGCCTTGGAAAAGGAGCTGACCATTATTTTTTAAGAAGTAATTCCATTGTATGTTAAAGTGTAGTTAACTTATTTAAGGTATAAAACTGGTAGTCGTTTTGTTGAGTCTTTTCATAGAGTCCAATAAGTAGTAAGAAAGATGAATTATTCAGTAATTATGTTGGGACAATTGAGCAGCTATCCGAAAAAAATTCTAGTTAAATAAAAGATTGATATGAAACCAAAGGAAACCACCAAAATATTCAAAGAAAACATAGGGAAGGAGGACTTTGTGAGTATTCTGTAATACCCAGAAGCCTTAAGAGAAAATACACAATTTAAAATTTTGCTTTATTCATTGTATATATATTTTATATTTATGACGTATATATTTTATAAGCAAGAATGAAGAAAGCAAGATTTTAAGTTGTGACTGTAAAAATTAAAATTTTCTCCATGGAAAAGAATGCCATAAATAAATCCAAACAGCAAACAAGGAAAAAACATTGCCAATGAAGGGCTGATTTCCTTATTTTTCAAAGAACATCCATAAACTTATATTTTTAAAAAAAACAACCAACAACTCAGCAGAAAAATGAGCAAAGAAAATGAACGAGTCGTTCACAGAAAGAAATGCAGATGTTTCTAAAATATATAAGATGCTTAGCCTCATTATGCCGACCATCTTTCATGACTCAGAATGACAGAGGTGTTTTTTTAATCTAATATTCTATTCTGGTAAGGATGTGGAGAAACAGGAACTTGCGCATATTGATGGTAGATACATTGGTGCCACTGCCGTGGAGAACAGTTTGGTAATATTAAATTTTTAAATAAAGATTCCCTTTGACCCAGCAGTTCTACTTCTTGGAATTTGTCTGATGGGTATACTCAACATGTTCAAAAATTATGTCTAGGTAAGAATATTGCAGCATTATTTGTAATAGAAAAATTTGGAAACAATGGAAGCATCCGCCATTAGGAGACTGTTTAAATCAACTGCAACAATCCCCAAGATATATCATGAGTAAAAAACCGCAAAAGTGCAGAACTGTCCTACCATTTTGGAAAGGAAAAAGAATATGGACGTATTTGTTAAAACAGGCCTAGAATATTTCTGGATATACCCCAGAAGCTGGGAACAGTGGTTATGTCCAGGGTAGGAGATGAGTGACTAGAGGACAGGGAGAGACTTCCCTTTTACTGTGTCTCCCTTTGTGTCTTTGAATTTAGTGTTAATGTCCACATATTACCTATTCCAAAATTGAAATAATTTTTTAAAAGAGCATAGTATTCTAAAAGTCCAGTAACAGGAGAGTATCATACAGCCATACCATGAATTATTATGCAGCCATTAGAAAACTTTAAAACGTTCTTCAAAATGTTTTTGAAGAACAGAGATGCTTATGATATGTAAAAGGAAGAAAGAACGATTTTAAACTGTATATATAGAGTTTCCAATTTTGTTTCGTACATGCCTAGAAAAAAGATGGAAAGGAAGAGAACTCTATCAGGTTGTTAACGCTCATCTCTGATTGATGAGATTATGGGCATTGTTTTTCTTTAAACTTCTCAGAATTTTCCAAGTTTTCCACAATGGGAATTTATCATTCAAGGGAAATGTTATTTGAAATTGCTAATCCTGTCGTCTACGTGCACCGTATGTCAATCCCACAAGATTTGAGCATTGTATTTTATTCCCAGGACTGACTGTGAGTAGGATGCAGGCAGTTGTTCTTCAGCTAGATTTAAAGTAAACAATAAAGTCATTACACTAAAGTGAGCGTTGAGCTGTTTAGAAAGATGGGGGGTGGGAGTCTTATAGTTTTGAAAGCTCCTACCTGCCCCTCAATTCTCCTCATCCCTGTCTACCTTAAAAAAACAAACAAAAAACACCAAAAAGCAAAACAAACAAAAACTTTATCTACCCTGGGGGGAAAAAACCCAAGGTCTGAACAAGATCTATGGAAAAGGGGGAAAGAAGTGAGAATTGAGTAACTTTTCTTCCCATCCCCTCCCTCCGAAACCTCACCTCTCCATTGAATTCTGAGCTAATTAACCATCTGGGGATCAAGGGTGTTGTTTCATTTCTGGGTTGAGCAAAGTAGATGTAATTTCCGTTCCTGCGGGGCTCTATCAGATCCTCTAATCTTTTTCCTCCTTGCAGCTCCCAAACCTGCTTTTTCTTCTAATTGTCTCCTCTTCTCTCCTGCATGTCTCCTCCTCAGCACATAAAACCCTGCTAAACCTAGTAGGAACTCAATACATGATGGTGGAAGGAGGGAGAAAAGAGGGATAGAAAAATGGATGTGTGAATAACAAGGCCCATTATAGAGCATTGTACTTATTTTTTGGAACTCAAAAAATTACTAGTTATTTTTTTAACTTGTTAGTTATAGTTAGTTTAACTTAGTTACTAGTTATAACTTATAACTATAAGTTATTAGTTACTTATAGTTACTTATTAGTAACTTATTAGTTATAGTTATTAATTAATCTTGAAAAAGATGCCAGTTTTCCAAGGATGAAATTTGAGTTTGAAAGTTACATGTCACCTTTGCAACTCTTATGGATAACAGACAAAATGACAAGTCTCAACTTTATTTATGAACATGATCCTAGTTTCCATCAAGTCTTATTCAAAATCTGGAGTAAATTATTGTAAATACTGCTACACGTAGTAGGGTAACCTCCACCGTTTGCTAGATGTGTGGCACCGACCATAATTTTGTGGAAATGGAATGTATAGAACAAATACTTTGTGCTCTATGGAATCTTAAAGGATATATTGGACACACCATATAGTATCAGTAATTGTGTTCCCTTTGTAAAATTTATATTTAGTTAAATCATAATGCAGGGAAAATGGAAGCATACTAATGAAAAGAATAAACAACATACAGACCTGATTTTCTATAATCTTCATGTAACTCTCATATGACCTTCAGGAACCTTTAGAAAGTTCCAAACCTATCTAAGCCTCAGTTTCCTTATTTGCAACATGAGACTAATAATTATACTTACCTTCTTAGGTTGCTATGAGGATGGTTAGTGGATGCTCAATAAATATTAGTTGGCTCTGATTCTAAGTTTGAATTAACACTTAGAGAAAATCCTTCTGCCTGGATAGGAAGCACTTCAGGTAAAAGGTAACTGTTTAAGCTGTGATTTGGAAGAAAAGGACAAAAAAGTTATCTCAGGTGCAGGGTGACAGCTCAAAACCTAGAGAAAGTGGGCATGTAAACTGAGCAGGTGTTTTTCAGCTGTCCTTGTTTTCCCAGGTGAGCTGGCATTGGAAGAACTTAACTGAGCTGGATCAGCTCTGGATGCTCAAATGTTTGCGGTTTAACTGGTACATCAATTTCTCTCCAACTCCCTTTGAGCAGGGTGTATGGAAGAAGCACTATATTCAAATGGTGAAAGAACTTCATGTTACCAAGCCTAAGGTAAATTGGGGGCAAAAACAACAAACTTACAAACATCAGCTATTTAGGAATTCTAGAGCTAAGACTGAATGATCAAAGTGGGGGAAGGGAGGTCGTTCAAATGAAATATACCATGACTTCAAAATTCTCCTTTTTGGGGCTGCCTGGTGGCGCAGCGATTAAGTGCGCACGTTCGCTTTGGTGGCCCCAGGTTCGCTGGTTTGGATCCTGGGTGCGGACATGGCACCGCTTGTCAAGCCATGCTGTGGCAGGCGTCCCACATATAAAGTAGAGGAAGATGGGCACGGATGTGAGCTCAGGGCCAGTCTTCCTCAGCAAAAAGAGGAGGATTGGAGGCAGATGTTAGCTCAGAGCTACTCTTCTTCAAAAAAAATTCTCCTTTTTGGAGAATTTGACAGTCCTTTTCGAGATGTGCATGTCAGTTGAGAGCCCTCATCTGACACTCCCAAACCACAGTTCCACCCAGAAGGTTGGGGCTGTGGAGCTCCCCACTGTGTCCAGGGCCAGGATTTCTGTATCTCTGACTCAGAGCCCAGACAGTTCTGACACTGGGACTCGGTGGGTAACATACAGCGTTTGTTATCTACGGCTCATCAAATTTTGCTCACTAATTCAAATTTGCTACGATTCTACCAGGTGAGCTGAAGTTTATTTTTGTTTCATTAATTAAGGAAAGTTTTCCAATAAATCAGTAATTAGACAGAGGCATAATGGGCATATTAAAGTTCTTTTTAAGCTAGAAACCGGTAATGTAAAGCATTTACATATAATCATAAAAAGTAAATATGCAAGAATAGTTTTTTTCTGGTGGTTTTCTATGCATTATAACCAATGTTTATGTTCATTCTTGTAGTCACAGTTAATTAGATAACTTGTGGGAGATTTTTATGAGCCTTTTCTTCATGGTGTGATCTATACACACGCAGAGTTGTACATCATTTCATACAATAGATGAGTCCCTGAAAATTACATGTAAATTAAATTTTTTAACGATTTTTAAAACCACGGGAGTATCATATTCCATGAAAAAGCTGCAGTGAATCCTTTTAAAATTGAAGAACCCTTTTGAAATATGAATACTCAACTCCTAACTTGCTCGTTTAGGTTTAGTTTTATTGTGTTTTCTCAAAGTAGAATCCATCTATATTTAATATAATAATAAACTATGCATAATTAATATTGTTACAATTGCAGTGATAAAACTAGTTTTCCTCATTTCAGTAATTGGTGTGCTACATAAGGATTTCTTTTTAAAAAAAAATTTAAACTGCAGTGATGGAAAAAGTTATTTTAAAAATTACAATAGCTGTGACTCCTTTTCACACAAGGGTTCTCGTCTCTCTCATTGGCAGTTGGGGGCATAGAATGGCATTTAATAACTAAAGCTTGGGCCTTTCTGGGGCAGAGGAGAGAAAAGTGATGAGCCAACTTGTAGAATGAAAAGAGGTTTTGAGTATTGTATATAAAATTGACTTTAGCACAACCAGAAGGACCTACAACTAGAATATACAACTACATACTTGAGGAGCTTTGGGGAGAAGAAGAAGGAAAAAAAAAAAAAGAAGAGCAAGAAGAAGATTAGCAACAGATGTTAGCTCAGGTGTCAATCTTTAAAGAAAAAACTGACTATAATGCTTTGTCTTCAGCAATATCTCTTTTCCACACAGTATTTATGCATAACTATATATAAAAATAATGAGTAGTTCTGGGGCTGGCCCCATGGCTGAGTGGTTAAGTTTGCGCGGTCCGCTGCAGGCGGCCCGGTGTTTCGTTAGTTCGAATCCTGGGCGCGGACATGGCGCTGCTCATCAGACCACGCTGAGGCAGCGTCCCACATGCCACAGCTGGAGGAACCCACAACGAAGAATACACAACTATGTACCAGGGGGCTTTGGGGAGAAAAAGGAAAAAATAAAAAAAATCTTAAAAAAAAAAATAATAATAATGAGTAGTTCTGATGCAAGAAAATTGCCACCTCTTTGCTCAGCATTAAATTTCTGGAGTACTTTTTATATTAAACTTTAGTTTTTCTGTTAAACAAATAGACCTAAATCAGAAAGACAAAGGTTAATAAAATCAACTAATAAATTTATTGGTTAAAGAAATAGATCTAAGTCAGAAAGACTAAGGTTAATAAAGCCTGTTGACTAAGGTTAATAAAGTCATCTACTAAGGTTAATCAAGTCAACTGTCAGCACTATACATACTAGAATAATTTGTATAATTCCCTGTGTGGTGGCTCCAACGATGGTGAACACAGACAGCCACTAGAGTAGAGCATAATTTAGCTCTCCTCAAGCAACCACACCATCTCCCTTCCCCTCAATACCCTTGTACGTGGCATGTGCTCCAGCAGAGCTTTAGAAATCATTTTATGAACAGATGGTAGTGGTTAATACTAGTTTCCTCAACCTTAAAATGAGAGGACTGGACTAGAATGAGCTTTGTAACTGTCTGTAAGGCTAAATTATCTACTCCAAAAAACGTAATTTCAAAAAGACTTCATCTAATAAAAGAAGAGTAAGTTAAACCCAAAATAGATAGTAGGGAGAAATAACAAAGAGCTGAAATCAATGAAATTGAAAACAGAGAAACAATAGAGAAAACCCATAAAACCAAAACTGCTGCTTTGAAAACATAAATAAAATTGATAAGTTTCTAGCTAGACTGATCAAGGAAATGAAATAGAGAAAACATAAATTGCTAGTAACAGGAATGAAGGAGGGGGCATCACTACAGATCCTGTAGACATTAGAAGGATAATGAGAGAATATTAGGATAATGAGGGAATTAGAGAACACCCCATGTCGCTAAGTTCGACAACCTAGATGAAATGCACAATCCTTGAAAAACACAAGTTACCAAAACAGTGTCAATAAGGAATAGAAAATATGAATAATTCTTTATCAATTTAAAAATTGAATTTATAATTTTAAAACTTTCCACGAAACTCCAGACCCAGATAGCTTTACCGGTGAGTTCTGTCACACATTTAAGAAGAAATACCAATTCTACATAAATTCTTTCAGAAAATAGAGGAAAAGGGAATGCTTCCCAACTCATTACCTTTATACCAAAACCAGATAAAGAATTTATAAGAAAAAACAAAACCACAGACCAATATCTCTCATGAACACAGACATAAAAATCCTTTAAAAATATTAGCAAATTAAATCTAGTAATATGTAAAAAAAGGAGACTACATGATGACTGCGTAGGATGTATCCAAGGACGGTAAGGTTGACATAACATTCAAAAATCAACTGATGTAATTTACAGAATAAAAAAGAGAAGATGTGTGGTCATTTTGGTATATGCAAACAAAAGCATTTAACAAAAAATTCAACATCCCTTCCTGATTTTAAAAATTCTCTAAAAAGACTTTAGGTGAAATGAAGAAAAATTTTGTTTTCTTAATACAGACAGGTCATCACAGTTTTCGTTATTATCTATTTTGTTAAAGTATCAAGCATTTTGTACTTTTCAGAATTAATGATGTTTATTTATATATAATTGCAAGCATTTATGCCTGAATTTTTCCCCCTGAAATTGTTTTTATCATGTATTATTTATTCCCAGTAGTTTTCAACTAGACCTGCTCCAGAAAAACAGATTTCATTCAATATAAGCTCAGAGAAATGAAGTGAATGTCCATTCTAAATGAGACCTGCACAAAGTATTAAACACGAAACCAATCATGCGCTATTGATTATATAAGTATAAAATGTCTTCTTAATCTACTAGACTACAGTCATTCATTAAATGAGTAAATATTTATTAAATACTGTGGTGTGCTACATGCTAAGAGTACGATGATCCTATCCCTGCTCTCCGGGAGGCTGGTCTAGCGGCCCAGGACGCAGACAAGTAAATAATACAACACTGAGTACCGAGTGCCAGCCTATAATGGAAATATATACAACGAGCAGTTGGAGCAAGGATAAGAAACTAACTGATTCTGCTTGGAGGGACTGGGGAATTTCTTAATTTTCACAAGCAATTCAAGCAAACCCATTTACCAAGCAAAGCTTCCCTAATCTCTTAAAGAACAAAAATTAAGTCTTTAATGGCTTCTCAACATACCAATACCACTTCCCTGAGGCTACAACCGCATAAAAACCTTATGAATTTCACGCACAAAAAATAGACTTTCAGTTTGGGAAATTAAAGCGAGAGTATTCTTTGGAAACGGCTGAGGTTTAGATAATTGATGAAATCTATAGTCTACCCTTACATAACTGGAAATTGTCTCTTTGTGTTATAGGTAATAAGGGCTGGAGTACTGTTTTGGGGAGGAATGTGTACATTTTTATGAACAAATTAACTGCACTTGTGGGAAAACTACACAATGATGAGGTAGAAGGCGTGGCCGAACAGGACAGAGAGGTTCAGTGTGGGACTGGAAGCAGAACAGTCCTGGATTCAAATGCTGACACTGTGTCTCAACTATGCATGCGAATTAATTGGTTTATCCTAGCTTCAGTTTCTCTTTCTGTAAAATGGGAGTAGTAACAATTACCTTTTAGAGTTATTGCGAAGGTTGAATAAAATAACGCATGAAAACTTCCTGAGACAGTGCCTGGCACATAGCAAGTACTCCTGGGTTGGTGGCTGCTGTAATCCTTGTCACCATTATCACTGCCATCATGATGATAATGGTAATGATGACGATATTCTTTATTTTATTGTCATTATTGTTACAGTGTTTTAAGAACAGAAATAATTAATTTTCTTCTCCTAGACACCTCCAAAAGACGGATTTGTGATTGCTGATGTTCAACCAATTACAAGCAGTTCTCCAGAGGAAAAGCCATCTCCTTCATCAGCTTTCCGGTCGTCTTCCTCTTTAAGAAAAAAGCATCACCTGGGGGAGAAAGAACTCCCACCCTGGCGGTCCTCCGACAAGCATCCGACTGACATCATTCGCTTCAATTACCTGGACAACTGTGTTCCCATGGAGCAGCTCTGGCAGGGGTGAGAGGCTCTCTGCCCTTCTCCATTCTTTGCTTTTAGAAACAACTTACTGGCGCTTCAATATATGAAAAGATGAAAATAGAACTTACTGTGAAATACAAATGCTCTTCAATACATAGAAGCAAAAAGTAATTGAGAAATTACAAGAACCGTTATTGGGAAATGAGCTCTGTTCGTTAGGGTTTGTTTGCATTTTGTAGCTGTAATGATTTAACATTACAGCTTCTTTTAGTATTTTAGTACCTCAAATTCCAGTCCAGCACCATAGGGTTCATTCTAGTCTTTTCCTTTTCCATATTTGCACCTCCCTTCTCTGACAGAGAGAAACCTGACTCTCATATTTATTTACTGTATAACGTATGTAGAGTATATATCATATATATGATATATACATATATATGTGTATTTTGATTATATACTATATGTGTATGTAATGTTTTGTACAAAAATTGTATTATAGGGCCAGCCCCGGTGGCCTAGTGATTAAGTTCAGCGTGCTCTGCTTCAGTGACTTGGGTTCAGTTCCCCAGCCCAAATCAACACCACTTGTCCGATGCTGTGGCAGAGGTGCACGTACAAAAAGAGGAAGATTGACAACAAATGTTACCTCAGGGCAAATCTTCCTGAGGGGAAAAAAAGTTATATTATATATTATATATGTATATATATTATATATGGTATGTGTATACACACACACACAGAGTACGTACGTACTTACAGATTCTGAAAGATTCTGTCATCTTTTCTACCCCATTCCCCATAACAAATCTAATTAGTTTCTGGTTTATCCTTCCAGGGTTGCTTTTTGCACAGAGTTACAAGAGATACCATTTTTTCGACTATATGATTGGCAAAAACTTTAAAGTTTGATAACATATTCTGTTGGTGAGGCTGTGGGCAAACAGGCATCCTCATACATTGCTGGTGGGCGTATAAATTGGCACAAACCCTATGGAGGGACATTTGATGATGCCTAGCAAAAATATATATGAATTTATATTTTTCTTCTCATAATTCTATTTTTTTTTATTAAGATTATGGTAGTTTACAACCTTGTGAAATTTCAGTTGTTCATTATTGTTAGTCATGTTGTGGGTACACCACTTCACCCTTAGTGCCCTCCCCCCACACCCCCCTTTCCCCTGGTAACTACCGATCAGTTCTCCTTGTCTATATGTTAACTTCCACTTATGAGTGGAGTCATACAGAGTTCGTCTTTCTCTGTCTGGCTTATTTCTCTTAACATAATACCCTCAAGGTCCACCCATGTTGTTGTGAATGGGACAATTTTGTCCTTTTTTATGGCTGAGTAGTATTCCATTGTGTATATATACCATATCTTCTTTATCCAATCGTCAGTTGCTAGGCACTTAGGTTGGTTCCACGTCTTGGCTATTGTAAATAATGCTGCGATGAACATAGGGGTGCATGGGACTCTTGGAATTGCTGATTTCAGGTTCTTAGGATAGATGCCCAGTAGTGGGATGGCTGGGTCATAAGGTATTTCTATTTTTAACTTTTTGAGAAATCTCCATACTGTTTTCCATAGTGGCTGCACCAGTTTGCATTCCCACCAACAGTGTATGAGGGTTCCTTTTTCTCCACAACCTCTCCAACATTTGTCACTCTTGGTTTGGGATATTTTTGCCAATCTAACGGGTGTAAGGTGATATCTTAGGGTAGTTTTGATTTGCATTTCCCTGATGATTAGTGATGATGAGCATCTTTTCATGTGTCTATTGGCCATCCTTATATCTTCTTTGGAGAAATGTCTGTTCATGTCCCCTGCCCATTTTTTGATCGGGTTGTTTGATTTTTTGTTGTTGAGCTGTGTGAGTTCTTTATATATTATGGAGGTTAACCCTTTGTCGGATAAGTAACTTGCAAATATTTTTTCCCAATTAGTGGGCTGTTTTTTTGTTTCAATCCCGTTTTCCCTTGCCTTGAAGAAGCTCTTTAGTCTGATGAAGTCCCATTTGTTTATTCTTTCTATTGTTTCCCTCATCTGAGAAGTTATGGTGTCCGAAAAGATTCTTTTGAAACTGATGTCAAAGAGTGTACTGCCCATATTCTCTTCTAGAAGACTTATTGTTTCAGGCCTAATCTTTAGGTTTTTGATCCATTTTGAGTTTATTTTTGTGAATGGTGAAAAAGAATGGTCAATTTTCATTCTTTTACATGTGGCTGTTCAGTTTTCCCAGCACCGTTTGTTAAAGAGACTTTCTTTTCTCCATTGTAGGCCCTCAGCTCCTTTGTCATGTATTTATATTTTGACCCAGCGATTCCACTTCTAGGAATCAACCTTGAAAATATCACAATTACATCTGCACAGGGATATTTATTGCAGCATTGTTTATGATTTTAAAATATTGGAAATAAATTCTCGTACATAGGAGAATGTCTGTTGAGTGAACTAGGTATGGTCCATTCACACAATGGAGTACTAGGCAACTGTAAAAATGAATGAGGAAGATCTCTATGAACTGATAAGGAGTGATTTCCAGGGTACATTGTTAAGTGAGAAAAGCAAATTGCAAAAGAGTATCTATAGTGTGCCACCATAGTATAGAAAGAAGAGAGAGCAAGAAAATATACATCTGTATCTGTATATACATATGTAACTTGTTAGCACACACACAAGACAAAAAAGAAATTAAGGAAACAAATTTTTAAATATTTAAGAATGTTTTAATACCTCTGCCATGTTTTTAGAATATATTTCAACAGATTAGTATCAAGGCAGCATAGGGTAGTGACAGTGTGCAGGCTCTGGGGCCAATCTGCCTGGGTTCAAGTCCAGGCGCTTCTGGCTCTGTGGCCCTGGGGAGTCCCTTACCCTCTCTGTGCCTCACGTTCCACGTCTGTAAAATGGCAATAATAGTAATACTTAAGTCATAAGGTCACTGGGAGGATTAATATATGTGACAGGCTTACAATAGCACCTGACACATAGTAAGCAAGCACTTCCTTTGTAGGATAGTTTCTAAAATTATATTATTTGGCTAATAAAGAAAAAGGTAATCCCATAAGGCTTGATGACTGGGCCATTCAGATCACCTGTGTATTTTCAGGACTATTGGGGTCCCTTTGGAGGTGAGATGAGATGAGAGTGGTATCCCTAATTAAGCAAGAATTGAGCTGTTTGAGGGCACAGACCATGCATTACTCATCCTTATATCACCACTGACTAGCATTACAATACTTGTTACATGTTTGATTTTGAAAGAAGTGTAGCTTTTTGATTCGTGAACTTTAAATTCCTCTAGTTGTGTCAGAAAAAGTCCAATTAGTTCCACTGATAATTTAGAAAGTACTGAGGGAAAAAAACAAGGTACAAAACAGAGTTTAAAAGAAATACTACCATTTATATTAAGATAGGTGGAGGAGAAAGAAACATACATATTTGTATATATATAATATATCTCTCTGGAATATACCCAAGAAACTGATACTATCATTTGTCTTCAAGAAAGAGAATTGTAAGTTGGAGATAAGGATGGATAGGAAAGTTTTCACTGTATATCCTTTTGAACCCTTGAATTTTGAACCATTGCGAATGTTTTGACTATGTGTTGATCACTGTACCCCTAGAGATAGTATTTAAGAGTTTGTCTGTGGCTCTTAGCCTGGACCACGGTGGTAAATGAGAGGCAAACGTAGATACCCAGGCATATGAATGGTACATGAACATGAGATAAACTGATAGCCTCCTGAGTTTTCTGTGAGACTCAAATACTATTTGTGAAAGACAATATTTACATTAAACATTAATGTACTGAACACCCCAATTAAAAGGCAGACTATCAGAATGGATGAAAAGATGAGAACCAACTCTATGCTTTTTACAGGAGACACATCTTTTAAATATAAAGACACAGATAGGTTTAAAAATAAAGTGATGGAAAAAGATGTACCATGCAAAGAGTAAGCATAAGAAGGCAAAAACGACCATTAATATGAAATAAAATAGACATCAAGACAAAGAATGTTACCAAAGATAAAGAGAGGCATTTCATAATCATGCAGGGATCAACTAAAGAGAAAGACATAACTGTTACCCATGCGTATGTACATTATTACAAAGCCTCAAAGTATGTAAAGCAAAAGTTGACAGTTTTAAAGAGAGAGACGATTCCACAACTACATTTTTTTCAAGTGCATGTGCTACCTCCACCAAAATAGACCAGATGCCTGGAATCCTCAAAGAGTTAGTGTCATGAGGGGAAAAAAAGATGGGGAAAATGTTCTAGACATAAGAGACATAACAATCAAATACAATTTGAATCTAGATGTGATTTTGGTTCAAAAAAGAAAGACGATAAAAAGCATTCTTTGGACAATTGTAGAAATTTGAATATGGACTGGATATTAAGTGATATTAAAGAATTACTGTTCATTTTCTAGGGTATGATGATACTGATGTGGTTAGGTAGGTAACTATCTTTATTTTAGGAGATGAGTGTTGAAGTATTTAGGGGTGAAGTGTCTGCAATTTACTTTCTTACAGCATAGCAAAAATACATACATATATGCACATATATATATGGTGTGTGTATGTATGTATATGTATCTGTGCATATAGAGAGATAAAGCAAAAATAGCAAAATGTTATTAATTGTTGAATGTAGTTGGAGAGTATATGGGTAATCACCGTACTATTTCAACTATTCCGTATGTTTGAAATTTCTTAACTAAAAGTTGGAGAAATTTTGAAAATTAAACAGCAAGAAATATTTGGGCAAGTTAATTTTTTTTAAATAAAACTTTTTATAATGGGAATCCAAATATATATAAAAGCAGAGAGAATAGAACTCCTCGTAGCCATCATCTAGCATTAACAGTGCTCGTGACCAGTCCGGTTTAATTTATTCTTCACCCATTCTGCCCTTTCCCCCGGCTATGTTGGAGACAAATCCAAATCCAAATGTCATATTATCTGATTCATACATATTTCAATGCCTATCCTTAAAAGATAAACTCTTTCTGAAAATTATGACACGATACCATATCACATCTAAATCAATGAATGATACCTTAATACAATCAATCAAATAGCAAGTCAGTTATCAGGTTTCCTTGACTATCTCCTAAGTGTTCGATATTTTTAAACAGTTATTTTGTTTAATCAGGTACCAAATAAGGTCTACATATTGTATTTGGTCCATGTGTCACTTAAGTCTTTGTTTTGATCCATAGGTTTCCCCTCTGGCCTTTTTTTCCGCCTTGCAATTTGGTTGTTATAGAAATCAGCTCGTTTATCCTGTAGAGCTTCTCACATTCTGGGTTTTGGTGATTATACTTCCAACATGCAGCTCACCGTGTTCCTCTGTCTCCTGCACTCGGCCCTCCTGGTGGTCGATCTAGAGATGTCATGATCATGTCCTTCTTTCACGAGGCACCTAATTTCTGGTTGTCTCTCTTTTTGTGATATTAGTGGCCACTGATGATCATTGTCTGGATCTATTATTTTAGGCAAACTTTTTCTGGAAAGGGCCAGACAGCAAATACATTAGGCTGTGCAGGACGTATCTCTGTCACAACTGTCAACTCTGCCATTGAAGCCTGAAAATAGCCATGGACAATATGCAAAAAATACACATGACCGTGTTCAAATAAAATTTTTATTTAGAAGAACAGGCAGGGGGGCCAGCCTGGTGGCACAGCAGTTAAATTCGCACGTTCCACTTCAGTCACCTGGGGTTCACTGGCTCAGATCCTGGGTGCAGACATGGCACTGCTTGGCAAGCCATGCTGTGGTAGGCGTCCTACATATAAAGTAGAGGAAGATATGCACCGATGTTAGCTCAGGGCCAGTCTTCCTCAGCAAAAAGAGGAGGATTGGTGACAGAAGTTAGCTCAGGGCTAATATTCCTCAAAAAAAAACCAAGAAAGAATAGGCAGGGGCCAGAGCTGGCCTCTGGGCTGTAGTTTGCTGATCCCTACTTTATCCTAACGTATATGATAGTTTTAGAAAACAAATATTAATACAAACAATAGGGTTACTGAAAACAGTTTAAGATTTCTTTGCCTGTGTTTTTGTCCTTAGGGTATATTCTACTAAGAATATTCAGACGAATTACTGTTAAAATCTCCTGCAGTAATTCCCCTGTGTATGGTAATGCCACCAACTCAATAGACAAGATAATTTGTTTCATTTTGTTTTTAGATTTTAGGGATTTTCTTCCTTCATTTTATTTTATAATTTTGAGAAAAATTGAGATGGTTGCAAAGTCAAACATACAAAACAAGGTATATTTGGAGAAGTCTAGCTTGTGTTCCTATCCCTCCATACTGTTACTTCTTCCTAATTGGATCACATGGGAATCCTACTTACAGGTAACCATTTTTCAAAATGTTATAGGTAAAATCCTTCCATTGAAAAAATATAAGCAAATATACACACACACCCCTTTCTGAAATAAATGGTAGCGCCCAATACTTACTGCTTTATCCACCTTTCTTTTTTCACTTACAGTATATCCTGGAGGTCACGCCATAGCTGGGTACAGAAATACTCTGCCTTCCTTTTTACAGCTCATAGTGCTCCATTGTGTGGATGTGCCAGAATTTACTCAACCAGTTCACTATTGATAGACATTTGGCTCATTTCCAGTTGAATTAAGACAATTTTTTAAATCACAGGAACAACAAAATCAAACAGGCAAATAGCTATGCAAACTGCCAAAGTTTTAAACTGATCGTTTGTAATTTTTCCATTGCTTTCCAATTTACAGAAGAAGGAAAAAACATGAAATGACCCCAGATTTCAGCCGACAGTCACATGATAAGAAAAATAAATTGCAGGACAGATCTAAGCTCAGAAAAGCACAGTCCCTGGTAAGTATTGCTTACAAAAGATTCCCCACCATAACGTTCATGAAAATTGCTGGATCTTAATCCTATTTGTGAAATTGATTTTTTTAAATGAAAATCATCAAGTGTTGGTTGAAATCCTGGTCTCTGACACTGACTGATAAGCTGTGTGACCTTGAGCATGACCTTTATTTAATCTCTCTGATCCTCTGTTTTCTCATCTGTTTAAAAACAAAAAGACTGGATGAACTGATGTATATGAACCTGCTTTGAAAACTGTACAATATGAAGGGAACATTATTATCTTTGTTTCCTTCTTCCGCTGTGAGTGCTCTGGGTCGGGGGAGAGGGGCTATAGAAGTTTCTCTACAGAATCACTTGTCTAAAGAATGAAGGTTCTTTAGACCCAAGAAAAAGGTATGCTTTCCTGCTACCAGTGAAGCATGATTGTAAAAGTACATTTTAAGTAACTTAAGAAAAAAGAATTAAGAACTTTTCTTTCCCTAATTAAAAAATAGCTAATTGACTACCTAGTAAAGTCAGTAATTGTGACTAGGGAGCATTATCATTTCATAGCAGAGTTTCCCAAATTGTGGTTCTGTAACCCCAGTAGATCCCTTTCAGCACATATGAGAGTGTTTGGTGCCAAGCAGAAGGGAATAAAGGTGAAATAAAAAGTTTATATTAGGAGTAAAGATTTAGAAAAAAGCTGAGGATAACACTCAAGGAAAATTAATATAAAATGGATGTCAATTGGGAGAGGAATAAGTATGTATTCATGAATAAATCACTTTCATAGCTCTGCTTTAAGGCCCTATTACTTTCTGTTTAAATGTATTTTCAAGTGTTATGTTCCCAAAAAAAAGAGAGAGAGATGAGCTTTTTAAAATAGGGCAGTCTGTATTCTGAGGGCCAATTTTGTTGGACGGACTGGATGAGGCTGATCACAGACATATGTACAGATGCCCAAGGGAATGGGGAAGCTTAAAGCAGAGCAGTAAAATTGTCAGTGGAAACTATTAATTGAGAAATATAGCTTTATGAGGCTTATCACACAGGCCATTCAAGCAAGCTTCTGCCTGGTTTCCTGGCCCCTCCTAGGCCAGAAGTAGAAGAGAAATCCGGGGGAGAACAGGGAATTTGAAGGACGATAAACATTGATGGTGATATCTGCTTACAAGTTATCAGCACAGTTAAACATTTCTCCGGCTTAAAAAACAAAACAAAACAAGACAAAAAAATCAAAAGCTAAACAGAAACCTTCCCCATGGGCTTTTGACATTTACCATCTGCTACACACTGGCAGGGTTTGCTTAAGTTAATGTATTCGTTATAAATTAAAATCTTAAAAAGTTGTGCTAATTAAAGCTGAAAGGGAAACCAGGGCAAAGTAAACAGTCAGAGAGAACAATTAAGCTATTAATAAATGATGTAAGTGATTGTATCGATCTACTTGTGTTGTTTATGTAAACATACCAATTATAATCACTATTTATGCTTGGTAGTTTTGATAAGGAACATAAGGCATAATTAAACCCTCCACAAGTAAGCTGTGACCCTTGACTCCAGAGCGATGCCTGTGATGAGCCTGGCTGTTTGGGCCCCAGGGCTGCGCGTGGCCGAGGCCCCCTCTCCACACGGTGGCAGTTTGTGCTCACTGTCGGCCACGTCCCTCAGGGGAAGAAAGCAACCTCTTAGGTGAGGCAAGATGATTGTGAAAATGAAGAAATGCTGGATGGGGGCTGAGAGAAGAGGAAGTGGGTATTGAGGAAATTTAGTTAAGGGGTGTAAGGAGAGTCAGGAGTAAAACTGACAACTGCAGCTGTAGAGAGAGTGTGGGAGAGAGCCCAGGTGCAATTGCGATGGAGAAAATCGTGTATTCATTTGGTAGAAAGTCCCTAGCGGAGGCCAGCTCTGTGGCCGAGTGGTTAAGTTCGAGTGCTCCGCTTTGGTGGCCCAGGGTTTCACTCGTTTGGATCCTGGGCATAGACATGGCACCGCTCACAAGGCCACAGTGAGGAGGCATCCCACGCAGCACAGCCAGAAGGACCTACAACTACAATATACAACTATGTACTGGGGGGGCTTTGGGGAGAAGAAGAAGAAAAAGAGGAAGTCCCCGATCATTTAGACAGGCACGTGTAGGAAGATTTCCAGAGGAACTAGAGAAACAGGTGAGCCCGCGAAACTTAGGGGAACGCATTATAAAGGTGAGGGACAGGGACAGACCAGCAACTCCCCCCACTTCCCACTCCCGCCAGGAGGTACCTGAGACCTGAACACCTGCGTATTCCTTGCCCCTGTAAGCGGAAAAGGGGACATGTGGTGCTTGGAGAAGTGAAAGCTTTGTGAAATGGAAGGGTTAGGAGAGGAGACAGCATGGGAGTGTAAAAGAGTGCAAAGAATATTCCTTCGGCCATCTCTCCAGGGCCATGGCTGTCAGGCCACTGAGACCAGCTTCACTTTTTGCCTATGTCAACCTACAATAACAAACCAGTTTAAGAGGCAAAATGTTTATTTCGGATCAAAGCTTTGCAATTAGGGAGCACAAATTCAGGTAGAAACCCGAATATTGTCCTGCTAGGGAATAAAAACCAGGGACTTTTAAAGACAAAGAAGGGAGGTTGTATTACAAAGTATTTTAATTGGAGTTGGAGGCAGACGCTAGTCTTGGCTACACATGGACTGACCACTGAATCTGTCTTCAGCTAGTCCACAATCCTCAGTCTTTGTGATCAGGATGTCCGTTTTCCTGCTGATTTCTCAAATAATTGCTTGTAAAATAATTGTCGTTTTGGCCCAGTTCATGGCTCAAGACAGCAAGGCAGTTTCTCTGGAAAGACAGCTCTGACTCCATTTTAAAATGGCTCCACTATAGTCAGTTTTGACACTATCATGACTTAGAGCCTTCAAATAGGAGAGTTCTCTCTAAAAAGAGAAGCATTCTCAGGGAAACGGTTTCAAATCTACATGCATTGCTGTGAGCTTGTGATGTTCTCTATTATCATTAGGTTTGAGTTTTCGAAGCCCCCCCCCCACCCCCCCCCCCCGCCGCTTAAAAGGGTACCTGATTTCTCATGCTTTCAATTCTAGTGCCGCCTCATTACAGCTGCTTCATTTAAACACCTTTTGGTGTGAATCATTGATAGAAGATGGGAATAAAGATTTCATCACTAATGCTTTACAATTTTAAAGACTATTTATTAAAAGTATATAAATATCAAGAAATGCCCATTACTGTTAGTTATTATAAGAAAATTCCATACAAAACAAAGCAATTAAAAAATATGGACACCACCGTACATCCAGGTACCATCTTAATTAAACTTCAGAGATTTCCCCATCTTATGTAAAGACCTGAAAAAAAAAAATATTTTTTCAATCTTAACAGCCGGCCCCACAGTTCCTCCTGGGGCATGGGCAGGGGGGAGCTGTCTCCTTGGGGGAAAGCCACTGAGGAGCTTGGAGGGAGGGAGGACACCTTGAGGGCTCCGATGCTACAGGCATCTCTACTTCAGAGGAGGGTAAAACCTGCTCTGCTGGAGATTAGAGGGAGTTTGTTGTTTCTGTTCCCGCAAGGGAAGGGGTGGAGGAGCAGAGAGAGGGGCGAGGAAAGAGATCAGAGGAGAGAGAAGCCCGCCAGATGGAGAGAAGCTGAGATGAGGTAGGGCAGAGGGGCCAGGACCCGGTTCCACAGGGATGGCCCCCATTCCGATCAAATGTATTTGCTATTCCTGAGATCTAAAGCCCGCCTTCCATCTCTATAGCAGAGTCTACTCAGTTTACAGGAGGGAGCAAGATCTCAGAAGTCTAGAAGGCTAAGAAAATGAAAGCCCCTCAGGACAGTTCTCAAAAACCAAGGGGGTGGCTTTGGACATCCCCCGTCCTGGAAGCGCACTGAGGATCTCACCTGACATCTTGTTTCATGTCATGTTTGTTCCCTACCAAGTCAGGTATAAAACAAATACCTCTTGTCTCACCCTGAGCTTTTATTTGGAGCTTAGAAGTCCTCGCTTTCTAGGTTCTGAGTTGGCCACGGATTTCAAACAGCTTGCTGTTCAGAGCATTCACCTAAGTACAAGTAACCAAAGCCTTTAATTGCCCGCTAACTCTAATTGCTTAATAAGACCTTATCGCTTCCTGTGCTCCGCGGCTAACAGCCTCTGCTGCTACCTTCTGCACTTCTTTCCAGGTTAACTGGATTCTTAGCGTGCTGGTGTTTGAAACGCTTCTTCAAGCTTTCTCACGTTTTTTTCCCCTCTGCATCAAGAGAGGAGGAAATAGGAACATACTCTAAAATGAGTCCTGGTTCATGTCATGGACGGAACAACGGTGAAGGAATCAGGAGACCCAGGTTTCTAGCCTCAGCTCTACCATTACCTAGCAGTCCTCCACCTCTTTGAGTTTTCACTTTCCCCTTTATAAGATGAGAGTTTGGATTCCACCATCTTTAAAGTCCATTCCAGGCCTAAGTCTGGATCTGTGGACCCCCAAAGTTTCCAACCCCGTTCCCTCCCCTCTCTCTCCTGATACCTGAGGGACACAGCTGTGTCTAAAGGGCCTTTAAGTAGAATACCCCAAAGATACCCCATTATATTCATAAATCCTAATTATAAACCAATAAAAGCTGGTTTCTGTCTCCCATCTTTTTCTTTGAACTTTAGAAAATGTAATGAATTAAAAGAAAGTATTTACAAAACAAAGTTTCTGCAGCAGTTTCCCTGCAGGCAATCTTTGATAGACTTCTTTCAGATTCCGACAAACTCCCCAGCTGTTTGTTTTATAATGTCTCTTTGGTTTGGAGGTGCAGAACTAAAAACAGCTATAGGAGAGATTTTTAATTACTTAGTTCAATCAATGAAATTCCCCAGAATTCCATCTGGAAGGAAGAATAAGAATATGGACTTTGCAGTCAGACAGACCTGGGTTCTTTTACTCAACAGTGAGACTTCGGATAAGTTACCTAACCTCTCTGAGCCTCAGTTTCTTCATCTGTAAAATGGGAATAATGATACCTCCCTTGC